TTTTTTGTGAAACGAATATTGAAAATCTAGAGCATGTTTTCTTTTGTTGAGATTTGGTGCAACTTTTTTTGGAGAGATGTACAGAACTGGCTACAGTCTAGAGAGGTTGAACTCCCACCCCTTACGATGAAGTTAATTAGGTTTGGTATTTGTCTGGAAAACAAAGAGTTGGATTTTGTTATTAATTTCTTGCTTTGTCTTGGAAAGTTTTTCATTCATAAATGTAGATGGTTTAAATCTAAACCCAACTTTAACCAGTGGATGAATGAGGTTAAAATTTTGTGCAAATCTTTAGAATTGGTTAAAAACAAGAAAGCTCTCAAATTGATTTCGTTTTTGGGGCATGTATAAACTAATGTAAAAAGCCCCTTTTGGTTTGTTTTATTTGTTCTATTTATTTATTTATTTTCTTCTTTGTTATTGGTTTATTGTGATCTTGTTTATCACTGGTTATGCTCAACCTAAGGCTGTTCACGTGTTGTTAGATTATGTGATGTGTTTATGTACCCAATTGTTTGTTTGTTGCAAATGGAAGCATAATAAAAAAAATAAAAAAACGTTCATCAGTTGATTTCCATTTTCCTTCTATCAGACCTGGCTAAGCGATTCAGCGGTGAGGCGTTCTGAATAAGTTGAACGGGGATCGATTGGTCAGGTCTGGGTAAAGGGAAATGGAAGTCTGCAGACGGGGATAAGAGATTGAAATCCGAATGTGGAACTCTTCTGTTTTTGTCTGTGAGGAAATACTTTTAGGGAAATGTATCTTCGGACCTTTTGTGTGTGTTACCTTTCATGTGCAAACCATTAATTGGACAAAGAACTAGTAGATTCCTATCAGATTTGTTTATTGATATGATCAGATGAGCAGCCTCAGTCAGTGCAGTGAACAGACCGACAACAGCAACAGCCTCCATTCCAGAGCTGGTGAGTGACAGTAATGTCCATATAATGCAGATAAACAATGTAGATCACGTCAAAGCATGTGTTGGGATTTTCGCAGTCGTTTTTGTTTAAGTACAAATCCTTACGACTCGATTTCAAGTCACTATTGTTAAATAGGCGCAAACCTTACCTTGTGGATGTCCTCATAATGATACAGTTTTTGCATCAATCATGTTTAATGAACATATCTTGTCTTTTATTATCTTATGCCATTAAAGCGTTTTAGTTTATGTGTTCAAGCTGAACGGAACCTGCTATTTCAGTCTGTAGGCGAGACGGGGTGTAATGTTACATATTATTGTGATCTGTTTCATTAAAATATATGATGTTTCTTACAGCTATTAATATGAAACGACCTTTATCATTGCGGTAGTCGAGTATTTGCAGTGTGCAGTGTTATTCAAGGCAATGCAATGGCGTATCATTGGTTCCTCTAGCAGTTGTTTTATACAGTAGCGTGTATCGTTGATACATTCAATTATTCATAGTATCACAAGCGAAAGCAGAACTACATGGTCAGGACTTTCGTTTTGTATGACTTTTTAAAGGCAGACGGAATCATATATTGCTGTCTCATGCCCTGCCTGTGTCTTTCTTTGTTTGGTTGTTGTTGTTGTTTCAGCCTCTCCTCAGCCCATGACTGCTGCACTACAGCATGTAGACAGCAGTGCTTTCTCCTGGAGCTTTTGCAAATGAAAATGGAGGACGTGTCTCTGTCCAGTATGGACAACAGTAAGATGGAGGTGAGTGGGTACGCCTTTGTTTTCCATATGTTGTATTCTGCATCATTAGATCTGTGTTGAATAAACAAACACATGTGGGTGTTTCACCTCTGCGTCATGAAGCATGTCCCGTGGTATACATTTTACACACATTTCATTGGTTTTTCCAGCTGATGTGTCTAGTGAGCACATTGCGAATGTGATGTGTATCCTTCTGAAGGTTACAGTGTGTTTCAAGCTTGTTAATACATGCGTGTGTTGTGCCTTCTTCCACAGGGCTTTGCTCAGGAGATCCTGTCTGACCTGGTGGAGGACGCCTGTTTGGGTCTTTGTTTTGAAGTTCACAGGGCTGTCAAACAGGGATACTTTTTTCTGGATGATACAGACCAGGAGAGTATGAAGGACTTTGGTGAGAGTCTCATATTTCTTAAATACAACATTGAATTTGCATTCTGGGACTTAAGGCCCGTTCACACAAAGAATGATAACTATAACAATAGCTATTAGCGTTCACACAAAGACACAATAATATTCCATCTATTATAAGCACTTTGCTCGAGATCTTTAAAGCAGGATGGATTCTGTCAAATTTTTATCATTCATCAGCTGGAAAAAAAATAGTTTTGATAGTCATTTCAACGATAGGGTTCCTCTGTGATGTTATCATTAGGTTTGTAGTGTGGACCTTGCTATGCTTTAACGTTTATAATGATTTTTAAAACTTTCTTCATCCTTGGTGTAAACTGACATTTAGTCTGATTTTGTCATGTAAATGGGATTATTTTCCAGGCCAATTTGAAAAGTTCACAAACTTTCACTGATATGACTAGAGTTGTAGAGTTTAAGATGTTAATTTTTAGAATGACTTTTCAGCATTATAACTTTAAGGTGTGATCACAGCAAAATTGTGCAGGTAAAAATGTCCATTGTCTAGTGTCATTAGTGTACTAGGGATGTATGAATCACAGCTCACACAGAGGTCACTTTCAAACAAAGCAGCTTTGAGTTGGTCAACGCAGCAAATTTAAGTCATATTCCCTATGAAATCCACGCCCTCATGTGAATTTCCTGATCGTGTGAATTCCAATTGACAAAAACTGGATTTCACACTCAAAAATTCGCAGAACAACAGTACTTGTGGTCGCACCTTTAGACATGAATGGTTCAGAGCTGCTGGGAGGGTTTACGCAGATGCCGTAAAGGAACCATTCACTCAAAAAAAAAAAAAAAATGTATCATTTTATTTTGAGCCCATTAATACTTTCTTCTGTGAACCACAAAAACCTTATTTTGAAGAATGTTCACGCTGCTCTTTTTCATCAAATGAGTGAATTGAATCTGCGCTGGCAGGGTGCATTTACACTTGCTGTTGTGCATCCGGGTTGGTTTGGATGAAGTGAACACTTCCTTTTTTTCGAACGCTGATGCACACCTGTAAACTATACCTAAGTCTGCCTCAAAAAGGCTAAATGTGTACACGGTATCTGCTTGTGTGGGTTCTCTTCTCACTCAATTTTCTGACAATTGAGATGACGCACTCAACGAAGCAGAGAGAATATATATCTCATTACTGCTAAAAATAAAAATAAACTCCGGTGTTCTTTAAAACCTTTATAGTACATAGACGCAAGTGCTGTTATGTATTTGTGAACAAAACCAAAGGTTTAAAAAATTTTTTTAAATAAGGTATACAACTGAGACAAGCAGTTCTACAAATTTTGCCACCTTCTCCAGTGTTGTTGTTACCTTGCAACAGGGGTAAACAAATTCCACTTTAATGGTGCAAAAGTACCGTTGTTCGGAATCAGAAATACAATGTGAACAAAATCCAGCAGGGTCAGGGAGACATCAAGAAATCAAACCAAATGTAAAAGCACCCTCAAGCTCTAAAAAAAGAATGAAAAAAAACATAAAAGCAACCTTCATGACATTTGCATTATAATCCAAGATGTCTGAAGTCATACAACCAAAGTCCTTTTTAAGGAAAATTAGTTCAGTATTTGTAAAGGCAGCTATTTTGGGTGTGCAAGACCAGCTCCTGTCTACTTGAATGGAGACATTCTGAAATCTCAAAAACTGCTTGCCAAACTCACATTTAAATGGCATATTGACATTAACGACCTCATAAACATTATCATCAAATTGTGTTAAAAGACATATATTTCAGATATTGGTTTAGCCAATGTGTATGTAATTTAATGATTTTAATAATAATTTATACATTTAGCAGACGCTTTTATCCAAAGCGACTGACAGTGCATTCAGGCTATACATTTTTTACCAGTATGTGTGTTCCCTGGGAATGGAACCCACGACTGCGCGCGCTGCTAATGCAATGCTCTACCACTGAGCCACAGGAACACTATGTATGTTTGTATTGTATGTGCAGTACCAAGTGCAAGTGCTTTCTCCTGTTCATTGGAATATGAGAGAACCATCTTGGGATATGCAGCTTTTTGGAAGAAGCCACCTTTAACCCAAAACTCTTGTTTCCCACTGTTATTTGTAGAAATCGTGGACCAGCCTGGAGTAGACATTTTTGGGCAAGTGTACAACCAGTGGAAAAACAAAGAGTGTGTGTGTCCCAACTGCAGCCGGAGCATCGCTGCTTCACGGTTTGCTCCTCACCTGGAGAAATGCCTCGGCATGGGCCGCAACAGCAGTCGCATTGCCAACCGCAGGTATTATGACTGAACATTCCCAGAAGAAAAATTTAATATAGATGTCACGTGAACTCGAGGCAAACGTTCATGAAGGGTTGGTGCTTGCCTGAATGTCTGGAATCCGTTTTTGATAATGCTGGTCATGTGACTGCTATTTTGGAACATGTGATGGTAATGTGTGTGTGTATAAATGTATATTTAGAATTGCGAGCGGCAACAACACGAACAAATCAGAGAGCGATCAAGAGGACAATGATGATGTCAATGACAATGACTGGTCTTATGGGGCAGAAAAGAAAAATGTAAAAGCACCCTCAAGCTCTAAAAAAAGAATGAAAAAAAACATAAAAGCAACCTTCATGACATTTGCATTATAATCCAAGATGTCTGAAGTCATACAACCAAAGTCCTTTTTAAGGAAAATTAGTTCAGTATTTGTAAAGGCAGCTATTTTGGGTGTGCAAGACCAGCTCCTGTCTACTTGAATGGAGACATTCTGAAATCTCAAAAACTGCTTGCCAAACTCACATTTAAATGGCATATTGACATTAACGACCTCATAAACATTATCATCAAATTGTGTTAAAAGACATATATTTCAGATATTGGTTTAGCCAATGTGTATGTAATTTAATGATTTTAATAATAATTTATACATTTAGCAGACGCTTTTATCCAAAGCGACTGACAGTGCATTCAGGCTATACATTTTTTACCAGTATGTGTGTTCCCTGGGAATGGAACCCACGACCTTTTGCGCTGCTAATGCAATGCTCTACCACTGAGCCACAGGAACACTATGTATGTTTGTATTGTATGTGCAGTACCAAGTGCAAGTGCTTTCTCCTGTTCATTGGAATATGAGAGAACCATCTTGGGATATGCAGCTTTTTGGAAGAAGCCACCTTTAACCCAAAACTCTTGTTTCCCACTGTTATTTGTAGAAATCGTGGACCAGCCTGGAGTAGACATTTTTGGGCAAGTGTACAACCAGTGGAAAAACAAAGAGTGTGTGTGTCCCAACTGCAGCCGGAGCATCGCTGCTTCACGGTTTGCTCCTCACCTGGAGAAATGCCTCGGCATGGGCCGCAACAGCAGTCGCATTGCCAACCGCAGGTATTATGACTGAACATTCCCAGAAGAAAAATTTAATATAGATGTCACGTGAACTCGAGGCAAACGTTCATGAAGGGTTGGTGCTTGCCTGAATGTCTGGAATCCGTTTTTGATAATGCTGGTCATGTGACTGCTATTTTGAAACATGTGATGGTAATGTGTGTGTATATAAATGTATATTTAGAATTGCGAGCGGCAACAACACGAACAAATCAGAGAGCGATCAAGAGGACAACGATGATGTCAATGACAATGACTGGTCTTATGGGGCAGAAAAGAAAGGCGAGTCTGTTATATATCACCTTTCTGTGCAATATTCTAGATTTAATCACTAAACCACTCAAGGGATTTCACTGCATAACTATTTATGAATGTATGCATGTTGTGTTATTTTAACATTTAATATTTTGCTTTCTAGCCAAGAAGAGAAAGTCAGATAAGGTATTTTTACATTCTTTGAAACAACCTGTACACTTGGTAAGTTTGTTTTAATGTTACATATGTTCTGTTTGCTCTTAAATGGCCTCTCAGCATTTGTAGCCACAGGATCTGGTGCAAATTAGATGTAGAATTAGTTTATTAAAGGATGTAGAATTCTTATCCACAATTCCTGTCAACAAGAATGCTTTGGCTACTAACTGTTCATAAATTAGCTTTCTAAAAAGTGCTGGACTGTAGCATATTTTACCTGCCTTTTCCATTACTTTGTCTTTTTAATTGGTTTCATTTTCATATCCTGGCTGCAGGCTAATGTTTGATTGTTATTTTTCCGCGCAGAATCCAAATTCACCAAGAAGATCCAAATCCATGAAACATAAAAATGGTAGGTATGTGTTTTTCTTTCTTGTGTGAAATCTGTAATATTATATTCAAGTTTAAGGGCCCCGATATACTCATAGCAAAGTTATTTTTCATTCTTCGCTTGGAGGTTAAAAGAAGTTTGAAAAACTATACAGTTCGCAAACATGCCAATGCTGCTCACGCTGCTGATAGTGGCATTTAGATGAATATGTAAATATGAACTGCATGCTTTCCTCTCAAAATATAAAAATAAACACAACAAAAATAACAGCAATGGGGGGTAAGAAAGCGGTGATTGAGCATCTGATCATATTGACGTGAATATGTCAAAAGTCTTTGCACTTTATACAATAGATTGAAGGAATAATTCACCCAAAAATGAAAATTTGTTGAATTGTATCAACCCTCAGGCCATTATATAGATGAGTTTGTCTGGAACACATTTGGATAAATTTAGCATTACATCAATGGGTCCATTGCAGTGAATGGGTGCCGTCAAAATGTGAGTCCAAACAACTGATAGAAACATCACAACACTCGACAAGAAATCCACACGTCTCCAGTCCATCTAGTAAAGCGAAAAGCTGAGTGTTTGTAAGAAACAAATTCATCATTAAGACATTTTTAACATCAAACTTTTGCTTCTGGCTAAAATATGAGTCCTTCATCTATAATATTGCTTTCTCCAGTGAAAAAATTGTCTTGTGTGAATCAAAATAGAAATATGCACAGATCAAGTACCATTTGCAACTGAAAACAGTTAAACAAAAATATCAGTGGGTTTTGATTTGAGAGGAGAAATGGGGATGGACTTTTTCATTGGAAGCAGAGTTATGAACTTTTGAATTATGAATTTTCTTTGGTGAACTATTCCAAAAAAGCGAGCAGCTTTACTGTGTCGTTTATAATTTCTTCAATTTCTGCTATAAAGCAGCTATCCGCTGTGTTCATGTATTTACTCACTTCTAACCTCGACAGACTGAACAGAAGAAACGAACCGGAGAAAATTTCCACGTCAAAGAAGGCGGAGCCGCAGAGTGCACCTACTCATTATGTAATCGTCACGGACCAATGGTAGTTCGAAGGCGTTTACCAGCCTGAGCAAACTTTTCCAGGAAGTTGGCTTTGACAAGTCAACTGATTTTGTTCGAAATGACATCACAACAGTGCGTTCTTCAATTTCGCTTGAAGTATACGGGGCCTATAGGGGCCATTCACAGAGCGTGTTTTTGCATTGAAAAACGTGACGTGGGGAATGGGGGGAAACGCAAAGACACTTTTCTTTAGCTCAATTATCGAATATCCATCTAGTGCATGTTTACAAAGGAAAACGATGGGAATGCAAAAACACAATCCGTGTGAACGGCCCCTGAAGTTGCATTCAGCAAGTTCGAGGTCCATTTTAAATGCTTTACATGCCAGTTAAAAATATCGTAAGCGATAATGTATGCTAACAGTCAACCGTCTTTGAGACTTTTAAAGTTGACAATTTAAGACATTTTAATTAACTGTCTGGTGCATGGTTTTCTTGAAGCTTTGCTGGGTCCTAAGAGACGTGTGGAGAACCAGGACAGTTTGTGCGTGTTGCTAAGAGAGGAGACATTCTCTCAATAACCCTGTGGGTATCAGGAGTCACTCACTACCCACAGTGCCACACTGTTCGCCTTATCACGGGATTGTGTGATCTAAATTATGCTGATCAGTGGAGGAGATGTGGACTAATTCTTCTGTCATTCAGTTTACATAATTGTTTTTTTTCCATTTTCATCTTCAGAATTTTTTGCACAATCTCTCATATCCTGCTCGTGCAGCTTTGATTTCTGGTCTCTCAAAATCGACACATCTAGAATAGAGGAACTTGCACGATTCTCTCAGGGAGGAAGTTAGAACTCATCATATCGGCAGACAGACGCTGGGCCAGTTGAGCTCTCCCATCACTAAGGTGCAGGATTCTTTCTAAATGAAATTTAAATGAAATTCTCGTTCTGGGAGGATTTTACAGCAGTTAATAATGAAATCGTTAAAGATTTAATAGCAAAAAATCAAGATCATAAATCAGTGTGAACAGTTTCCCATCAGGTAATTACTACACAGTTTCTTATTACATAGTTTTGGAGAATCATGATCCAGTAGAGTATTTTCTTTTCTCTGTAGTTCAATAGCCAAAGTGTGGTACAGTTGTACTGTATTATGTCACTAGTTCTATAGCACATTATCATACTACATTTTTTATTTTCAAAAGTAAGTTATTGGTTACAAAGAGAGGAAAGACGGTTTGGCATAGACCTCAAAAAATAATTAAGGCTTGAGAATATCTTTATCATTGTAAAAAAAAATTTCTCAATTTTTTTATGTATTAGATGTTTACAGTGTAAGGTGTCCTGTGCAGTCTCACTTTGTGACTGTGTACATATATATATTTGACTAGGTGAAAGATGCTGCTATCCTGACCGTGAGCCATACGCTTATGGGCATGTCATCAATGTAATAAAAGATCAGAACTCTGAACATGCTTCATGTGTGTGCTGCAAATATTTATTTCAGAAATATGGGTGTTGTAAAGGCAAAAAAAGTTCCAGTCATTTCTCTTGGTAAAATGCTATGCTTGAGGCTTTGGCTTCTTTAGGAGCTATTTTCGTAGAAGGCCAACAATTCATTAAAAATGTTTTTTTTTATTGGTCTTATGGAGTATTCTAATTTGTTGAGATAGTGAGTTGGTGGGTTTTTGTTAAATGTGAGCCAAAATCATCACAATTAAAAGAACCAAAGACTTAAACTACTTCAGTCTGTGTGCATTGAATTTATTTAATACACGAGTTTCACAATTTGAGTTGAATTACTGAAATAAATGAACTTTTCCACGACATTCTAATTTATTGAGATGCACCTGTACTTTTTATCAGCCACAAAACGCAGTGTGAAACTTTTCACTGTTCAAAGGAACACTTGTATTTGGAAAAACATCGCTTTTGACTAAATAGAGTAGTACAGATACCCTTAGGAAAAATGTGTTTGTTTGTTTTTCTGGTCCCAAAATATATAAACAGTAAAAATGAGGAAAACTTAATTTCTTAAAAAATAATAAGTGATATTTCTTGACGATACTTGTTAATACTTAATTACTTGATCCTTGTGCGAATATGTTTGATGATGTTTTGAGTAACATTTGAGTAAGTACAGACTGAAATAAATGGTAGAACACCTATGTTTATTTAACCACTTTTTGCCATTTTTTGATGTAATTTATTTCTGCATAATTTTGCCTGCAGTAAAGCCATAAAGAAAGAAGAACAGTAGACGCACAAGAACAAAAAAGTTTGTAAAATAATTAATTAAAACCGTTTGCCAGTATTTTATTTTCAAATAAGCTCACATTTACACTTGTTCATATCCCTAAAATGTCGATTCTCTAATTAAATTAAATATAATTACTTAGCAGACCAGATTAAAAATGTAACTTTTAAAACTTTGTCAACAAATTGAGCAACATCAAGAATTGAGGGGGGAAACTACAGGCTATGAGCTGCATTTCCATATTCAAAACAAAAGGTCTTCTTTGTACACCAAATTAAACCGTTTTCGAGTAACGTTATAGAAGACATAAGCTGTCGCTTAGTTAGAGGATTTGAGGGAAAGTTATTTGGCAACCCAGAGGGAGGAGATCTGAGAAGCCACACACACTGATAACTGTAGACATTGGTCAGGCTCTTAAAATGTTGTTGAGAGGCAACCATTATGATAAACGGGGGTTTGACATGCTTTTAGAGGAAGAGATGACACACTCAACGGACATCGATCGACACTTAGCGACAGAAGAATATATAACATTAGATATTTGAACGCGATGCGGAAACGCGGAACTTTAACATTTTTTTGAGTTACTCAGTAACGATTTTGGATTTGTTTCTTAATTATTAGCGGGAAAAAATAATATAAAATGGCTTCTAGATCGGGTTTATCAGGTTTCCCCGTCAACCCCAGTACCCCGATAAACCCCAGCATGAACCCCATGAACCCGGGTCACAGCAGCGCCATGAGAATGCCCGGAATGCCGCATAATTCACCCTTCAGAGGGATGGGCAGTAACGTTACCCCGAACCAGTACCACCAAGTAAGTGACGGAACCACTCTTTATTTGTTTGAAGCGTTTAGCATCACGCCATAGCTTCAGTCTTCACTTCTGTCCAATATAGGAAGTGTCATTGCATTAGCAACAATGACGATTTAATAGCATATTTATGACCATAAAAGTTGTCATAAAATACAAGGATGCTTCTTTACAGAAATAAAAAGAGAAAAGACTGAAATTTTGAATTCATTATTTTTAAGAGCACTGTAGAGGCCCTTGAAGAACAAACATCTAACTTCCGCGTTTGAGTCCCACCATGAACACGACAGGCGTGCTTTACTTTGAATATGTTACCTGCAAACAATCGGTTCAGCCACTAACAAAAAGTGCCATGATAATGCTAGTCCATTTTGTAATATACAATGGTGATACGATTATCTTTGGACTGGACATATACCATTGTAATACCAAGGTGTTCGAACATGAACCATATAATAGTATTTACTGCGCCGTTGAGTACCACGCAATTGCCGTGTATAAGAGTATCATTACCTAATTATCCCATTAACTTATAAAGTTAAAAACCATCTGATATCATCACTGTACCATGGTACCAACAAGGTATTTTGGTAACACTTTACAATAAGTTCCTATTACTTAACTAAAAAAATCAACAAAAGAGCAATACATATCTCACAGTATTAATCTTTGTTAACATTTGTAAATTCTATAAAAACTCTGTTCATTGTTAGTTCATGTTAGCACAGGTTTTACAGATACATTTGATTGAAATAAGAGGCCTAGTTCACCCATACATGAAAATGTTGTCATCATTTTTTTCACCTTCCACTTGTTCCAAACCTGTATGAGTTTCCTTTTTCTGTTGAACACAAAAGAAGATATTTTGAAGAATGGTGGTAATCAAACAGCTGACGGTAGCCACTGACTTCCATAGTATTTTTTTTTTAAGTCAGTGGCTACCGTCAGCGTTCTTCAGAATGTCTTCTTTTGTGCTAAACAGAAGAAAGAAGTTCATACAGGTTTGAAACAACTTGAGGGTGAGTAAATGATGACAGAATTTTCATTTTTTAGGGGAACTATCCCTTCAGTAAATTATGAAATTAACATTAACTAAGATTAATAAGTGCTTTGGAAGTATTTTTTAGTTAGTTCTTGTTAACTAATGTTACCAAATGTTAAAAATGGAACATTGCAAAATTATACCGTATTTGTCATGCTTAACCTATAATAACAGTCTGCTATTTGTTAGTGTCACAATAGTAATCCTCAAATCCTGCAGTCGTACACACAGCGCTCGAGTATGTCACGAGGAATGCCAATAGGGGGCATGGGGTCTATGGGTTCCCCTCTGCCCGGTCCGTCTTATAGTGGAGCCATGCCTATGCGACCCGGGATGCCTCAAGCTGCGATGGACCCTTCCCGGAAGAGACTCCTTCAGCAGCAGCCCGGGGGTCTTATGGGTCCAAGAAGGGGGTTAGTACATTTAGTATCAATATTTGTGCATGTATGGCCACAAATTTAAAGTTACAGTAGCGTTCATGTCACTTCAAAGTTCCCATTGAAGTCTAGCTTATGAGGCCTTATAAACAAAGGAAGGTTTTGGTTTTGGAGCCCTAAGTAAAGTTTGTATTAGATGATGTTAATAATGTGGCATAAAGTGGTCTGGTTCTACTATAGAGCAGGATGTCAAGTACGATGTTAAATCTAAGAAAAGCATAAGAAGCATATGATTCTGCTTACATGACAGTAAGTGTCCAATACTGAACCTAAAAAGTGTCATCTGCCAGCGGATAGGCATTTGTCTCTGAAGACCAAAGACTTCTTTGTCCTTCTAACTGAGAGACTCATTTGTTTCATTTTGCCAAAGAAGCATAGCATAGCTGTGAATTAAAAAAAACATGGTTTATAGATGTCTCATGATATTAGCAAAAAGACTTAAGCCACAGGGCAGATTAATTTGATATTATGGATGTTTGCTGAGGCATTTTGAACACCCCAAAATGGAAATTTATTAGTTGCACACCCTCATGACGTTCCAAACCTGTATGACTTTCTTTATTCTGTCAGACATAAAAGAAAATGTTTTGAGAAATGTCCCAATGTGGTCACCAAAACTCTTTGGTTACCCATATTCTTCAGAATATCATCTTTTGTATTCTGCAGAAATGGTCATAAAGGTTTGAAAAGACATGAAGGTGAGGAAATGATGACAGAATATTTATTTCTGGGTAAATTATCTCTTTAACCATAAATATTAAATTTGGCCATTTGTGATACACACATGAATAATTTACACCTCAAATTAGTATCAGAGAGATGTGCTTTTGATGTGCAATTGTTGATCCAAGCAATTAGATGATTTTTGGTTTTGAATGATAAAACAAGTGAAAAGTTCACAGATATAAGGAGCGTCTCGAAAAAAATGTAGCAGACAAAATCCAGTCACTTTAATAGGAATCCGTGCAATCAGGAGTTTCGCACAAGGCCAACATTTTTATTTTCCTGACCGTCAAACAAAGCTCATTAGTCGATCGTTAACCAGTAAGATTAGAATGTCTTTTTAAAAAAAAAATTTATTAGCTTTATATGCGCGAATAGCAGCGTAAACAATGAGGATTCAATTGCTGCATCATGCACCTGCAGCGCTTCTGTGAAAGGAGAAAAATGTAAAAATGTCCGCTGTAAAATCAGCGTGCAGTACCCAAACAAACATTTTTGCGCATGTGAAGGATTTTAAGTCAAGTCAAGTCAAGAGAATTGTAGAATAACAGCATTTTGTTCATTTTTATTTTCCTGACCGTCAAACAAAGCTCATTAGTCGATCGTTAACCAGTAAGATTAGAATGTCTGTTTTTTTTGTTTTAGTAGCTTTATATGCGCGAATAGCAGCGTAAACAATGAGGATTCAATCGCTGCATCATGCACCTGCAGCGCTTCTGTGAAAGGAGAAAAATAGAAATGAAGTCTATAAAAGGAATAAAATAAATAGGATCACACAAAATATATAATAGGCTATAATATAATTAACAAATTAACTAAAGGGAAAAAAAACACTGTGCAACAAGTATAGGCTACGCTCGTTTTTGTGACACTCTTAATGCATTTTATTTCTTTTCTTTATGTCTTTTCATCGTCTGTTTGATTACGTCTTTAATTGATTTTTCCGTACATTTCTGCCATATGTACATTAACTGACAGTCACCACTGATAAGCTACCACTAAATAATGTAGAAACTTAATTTGCTGTAAAGTTGCTTTGCAACGATTTGTAT